TGCAGTTCCCTGTAAACGTGTTAACGATGTTTATTCAGCACTAACGATGTATACTCAGCACTAACGATGTATATTCAGCACTAACGATGTATACTCAGCACTAACGATGTTTATTCAGCACTAACGATGTATACTCAGCACTAACGATGTATAGAAAGTGTAGATCTAGATATAGATCTGTTGTTTGCCCTCCTGCAGCCGGAGGCGCCTCCCGGAGGAGCAGAGACAGGAAGCACAAAAACAAGAAGCAGCACAAACACAAGAAGGAGAAGAAGGTAGGAATAAAGACAACATTCAAATAACTCTCTCCTCACTGCTGCTTCTCTAACGTGACGTCGTGTCCACCACAGAAGAAGAAAGGGAAGAAGCAGAAACACAAAGAGAAGAAGAAGAAGGAGGAGGACAGCGACGAGGACACGGTGTCGACTCAGGAGCTGCTCCGGAGGTGATGTTGTTGTTGTTGTTGAAACTGTCTGAGGGGGTTGTGTTGTTTATTACATAACAATCATACTTTTACTATTTTTATTTCAGAACCAATTATTTTTTAATTGAATGTTTTTATTTACTGGTCACATTTGAATGTTTAATTATTCTTATTTATATTTCTCTATTTTTTACATCTTAAATAATAAATAAATAAAATAATTGTTCATATTTTTCAGTTTTTATTTATTTTCAAACCAATCTGATTCACCGTGAACGTGAGTGTGTCGAGTAACCTGCTGATACATGTCCTTGTGTTGAACTAATGGATGAAGGTTCTCTCTGCTTATTGGATCTCCATTGTTGTTCATTTTGCAGACTGAAGAACGTGAAGTCCCGTGAGACCTGGTGAAGAAATGAAGCGTCCTCTGTGAGGACCTCCGGCCTCATTTTACACAACATCTTATGTTTGAATCAATAAAAAAGTTAGTCATGAAGTGGTTTGAGTTATTGTTCAAAGCTCACAGCTCTCAGATGTCTACGGGTCAAACCCCTCCTGTCTTTGGTCCGCAGTTTGAACTGAAGAAAGCTCCTGCATCTAGTCACCAGTTTAATGTGGACACGGGAACAAAGAGAGGACCATGGGGTGATCAATGATCAAATGGTTTGGCATTAAGACCCCCTCTATCTCCCCCTCTATCTCCCCCTTTGAACACTGTCTCCCCCTTTGAACACTGTCACCCCCTCTATCTCCCCCTCTATCTCCCCCTTTGAACACTGTCACCCCCTCTATCTCTCCCTCTATCTCCCCCTTTGAACACGGTCACCCCCTCTATCTCCCCCTTTGAACACTGTCACCCCTCTATCTCCCCCTTTGAACACTGTCATCCCCTCTATCTCCCCCTTTGAACACTGTCATCCCCTCTATCTCCCCCTTTGAACACTGTCATCCCCTCTATCTCCCCCTTTGAACACTGTCATCCCCTCTATCTCCCCCTTTGAACACTGTCATCCCCTCTATCTCCCCCTTTGAACACTGTCATCCCATCTATCTCCCCCTTTGAACACTGTCATCCCCTCTATCTCCCCCTTTGAACACTGTCACCCCTCTATCTCCCCCTTTGAACACTGTCACCCCCTCTATCTCCCCCTTTGAACACTGTCATCCCCTCTATCTCCCCCTTTAAACACTGTCTCCCCCTCTATCTCCCCCTCTATCTCCCCCTTTGAACACTGTCATCCCCTCTATCTCCCCCTTTGAACACTGTCACCCCCTCTATCTCCCCCTTTGAACACTGTCATCCCTCTATCTCCCCCTTTGAACACTGTCACCCCTCTATCTCCCCCTTTGAACACGGTCACCCCCTCTATCTCCCCCTTTGAACACTGTCACCCCTCTGTCTCCCCCTTTGAACACTGTCATCCCCTCTATCTCCCCCTTTGAACACTGTCATCCCCTCTATCTCCCCCTTTGAACACTGTCATCCCCTCTATCTCCCCCTTTGAACACTGTCATCCCCTCTATCTCCCCCTTTGAACACTGTCATCCCTCTATCTCCCC